TGATGCCTAAATAAACTCAATATGCAATTAGATTCAGTCAAATTCTCAAAGATTTATATAATTAGACACACTGATTGCAAGGCCATCTGCTGACAATGCACATGTATAAATGTGTTTCCAAATGGGCATTTACTTCTAATTAAAATGAGGTGTGTGGATTTGGGATAGGTGATTATAATCTTCATGAAAAAAAATAAAATAGTGTGAATCCATGTGTGTGTTAGAAAAAGAAAGAGCATCACTATTCTTTTGGGGACTCCTTGCTAGTGTTTCCTAAATGCTTCCTTCACAGAATCACAGAATCACAGAATCACAGAATCTCTAGGTTGGAAGAGACCTCAAGATCATCGAGTCCAACCTCTGACCTAACACTAACAGTCCCCACTAAACCATATCCCTAAGTTCTACATCTAAACGTCTTTTGAAGACTTCCAGGGATGGTGACTCAACCACCTCCCTGGGCAGCCTGTTCCAATGTCTAACAACCCTTTCAGTAAAGAAATTCTTCCTAACATCTAACCTAAAACTCCCCTGGCGCAACTTTAGCCCATTCCCCCTCGTCCTGTCACCAGGCACATGGGAGAACAGGCCAACCCCCATCTCGCTAGAGCCTCCTTTAATATACTTATACAGAGTGATAAGGTCACCCCTGAGCCTCCTTTTCTCTAGGCTGAACAAGCCCAGCTCCTTCAGCCGCTCCTCATAGGACTTGCTCTCCAGGCCCCTCACCAGCTTCGTCGCCCTTCTCTGGACCCGCTCAAGCACCTCGATGTCCTTCTTGTAGTGAGGGGCCCAGAACTGAACACAGTACTCGAGGTGCGGCCTCACCAGAGCCGAGTACAGGGGGACGATCACCTCCCTAGCCCTGCTGGTCACAGTGTTTCTGATACAAGCCAGGATGCCGTTGGCCTTCTTGGCCACCTGAGCACACTGCTGGCTCATATTCAGCCGACTGTCCACCATCACTCCCAGGTCCTTCTCTGCCTGGCAGCTCTCCAGCCATTCCTCTCCCAGCCTGTAGCTCTTCTTGGGGTTATTGCGCCCCAGGTGCAGGACCCGGCACTTGGCCTTGTTAAACTTCATACAGTTGACCTCAGCCCATCGGTGCAGCCTATCCAGATCCTCCTGCAGAGCCTTCCTACCCTCAAGCAGATTGACACACGCACCTAGCTTGGTGTCATCTGCAAACTTACTGAGGGTGCACTCAATGCCCTCATCCAGATCATTGATGAAGATGTTAAAGAGGACCGGCCCCAGCACCGAGCCCTGGGGGACGCCACTAGTGACTGGCCTCCAACTGGACTTGGCTCCATTTACCACAACTCTTCCAGACAGCCTCCTGGCTGCTTCTTAGGCAACTATGTTATTAATTGGATTTTGTTCAAGGTAAATTGTGACCGAGAATTGCAAACAAAGTGATAATCCCCTGAATGAGCTAGTTCAGATAAGAACGGAACGGGGCAGGCACAAAAGCAGTGGTCTGGTTTTCAACAATTGCGGGATTAGTCATGAATCTTGTCTTCCAAGACCACCAGATGTTTTCTTGTTTTTCTTCTCCTGAACCAGAATATGCTCAGAAACACTATGGCACGGAAAGATAGGCAGGGCTGGGAGGGAATATGCGTGGGTCCAGGGGATTAGAGCTGTTTCGGTGCTTAAATGAGTTACCTAAGTAATTGTCTTCTGCCATTTTATATCAAGACAGATGAAACCAGTAAATCTCTCTGCACCAAATACCCTGTCTTCAATAGTGGCCATCCCTAGCTACTCCAGCAGCTGATGCAGGATACCGTGCAAGAGGGTCAGGGAACTTCTCAGCCACCAATCATGACAAAAAAATAAGAGCTGCCTGGAAGGAGATCCCCATCAGCACAGAGTTACTCACTGGGTGATGTTATGTATGGGTAGAGTGAGTTTGGGGCTGTCTGCAGCTGCCCAGTAGATACTCATTTTGTCCTATCCTATAAGTGCTAGAGCTCCTTGTGCGGCTCAGGGTATCTGGAGACAAAAAACCACCTGGGAGCTGTCCACAGAGACCCTGGTGGAAGAAAGAAATCACAGAATAATAGAATCATAGAATATCCTGGTTTAGAATTGGTGTTGCCATGCCATGTCACGGATGTCCTGGCATCAGGAATAGAGAGCTACAGCAGTTCCACCCTTTAAGAGTGAGAAATCCCAACTAAATGACGAAGGGTTGTGTCACGTTGTATTTCACTTTGAGTGAAGAATGAAATTTCCACTACGATGCTGGCTGCTTTGCTGGCAAAGAATAAAATATGGTATTAAACAATGAGAGGTGGACAGCTCCAAAAAGAAAAGTAGATCCCCAATATATTTATATGTGTATATTTCCATGCAAATTTGTGCATATCAAAATACAGTTTCTCTTCATTTATGTATTCACCATAAAGTCATTCTGTCAGTCTTCCTGCTTTACAGGAATATCCCCATCAGCATAGATGCCAATTATGTTGATATTCCACAAGAGACAGGTGTAGCTGACTCCCTGTAGGCAGAAAAAAATATTTACTGGGGGGAGTGGAGTTTCTCTTTTAGAGCATCAATCTCCCTGTTTCTCTGACAAATTTATTTGGAAGGAGGTAAAAACTGCACCAGTTATATAAATATATAAAAAAATATATAGTATAAAAATATAAATATATAATGTAAATATTATATTAAAAAGTTAAGACCAAATCCACAAGCAAGGAATTCATTAGAAGGGGTGCATCCAAGGGCACCATCCTTCCCTTTAGGGTGCTAATGTCTGGATTTTATTTTTTCTTTCCAGCCATCTTATGTAATTTCTTGTAATTATATGTGGTAAGCTGTGCCTTGTCACATCTGTCAGCAGCAGACTGGTTATAGCAATGGAATCTGGAGAGGGCATCAGTGGTAGGGGAGTAAGTAGGGATAGGGGAAAGAGGTTACAGAAGAAACACAAGAGAAGCAGAAGAATGGAAAAGGGTATCTGCAGCTGCTTTGTGCTGAAGGTGGGGCTGATTGGTAAGGGAAAATAGAGGAGGAAGGAATAAATATCTACAGGTTCTATAAAATTATTTTATTGGATTTATGCCTCTGCCACTTTCAAGCATCCGTACAGGGATATTAAGCAAGGGCTCTCCTTATTTGCTTCATTTTTCTGTTTTTATCTGCCTGTTATTTTTTGTCTCTTTCAGGTTGAATTCACCCCTGATCAGATTGAAGGTGAGGAAGATTTGTTTCTCTTCTATGCAGAGTAAATGCCATCATTTGGAGGTGCTGGAGAGCACAGTGATGTACATGGGTGTGGGTATTGGAGCTCCCTTGAGATAGCTGTGCTTTAACTCATGGTTCTGTCCCTGTCCTGTCCCTCCTCCGAATCCTCTGTTATGTTGGTCAAAGGACAAGGAGGAAAGTCATGCTCCATGCAAATCAGGCACTTATTTCACTAAAGGAAACATCAGCTCCTCTGCCAAGGAGGCAAACTCAAAAATGAAATAAACAATTCACCCCTCCAAACCTCAGTCCAAAGATATGCTTTTTAGTTAAGAAAACCCACCAATAAAATATAAGTACTTTCAAGAGAAAGTCTCCTGACCATGCTTTTGAGAACTTTTCCCTGTATTCAATCAGAATTTAATTTGTTACAGTTTTGTGACAGCTCTCCAGAAACCATCAAATAATGACAGTGATGATGGTTTTTCTTTCAAAGGAAAACATCAGCATTAGTTTCTGAGCCCTTTGTCCCAGCCCAAGAAAATGATACTGAAACCTCATGCATGAAGTCCTGGGAACACTATTTGCTGCAGCTGTCCTCTTTTCCCTCAACTATCAGTGCGCTTGTTACTTAAAGGATAATTGATAGATGGAGTCAAACATCTGGCAGAGTTTTGCTTTGGTCTCTAAACCCTTGGAAGAGATTGGTAGAGCCTATGAAAGATGGTATCAGAAAATGAATTAATGAAAACAAATAAAAAAAAAAATCACAGACCATCCAGGCAGGTTGATTCAGAGAAAGGAGATACAGAAAGAAGGATTTTTTGAACTGTAACCAAATGTCTTAATGCCTCAGAGACTGAGGCTTTGCTACAAACTTCCAATATTACCTTGGGATTTTCAAGCCCCACTTCATGACTTTAGTTCTGATCTTCTAACAACAGGTCAAAAATAACTCACGATTGAAGGCAACTACTAGTTTTGAGGAAACTTCCCCTTTTCTCCTCCCCAAATCATGAGAGAATGACAGGAGAGGCCTAGTTCTGAGCCACAGACCTTTGAGCTATTCCAGCATCACAGAACAGTTGGATTGCTGATCAGATAATGCCTTGGGGATTGGATAGGACCCTCCTAGTGTCTATGCTTTATTTCTCCTCCCTGAGGAGAATAAGCCCTAGAGGCTCGATCAAAAACAGTGAAAATAATAGGATGATTCTGGGTGAAGAAAAAAAAAAAAAAAGGAACGATAAAAAAAGAAAGAGAAAAAAAGAAAGAAAAAAAAAGGCCATCAGCTCATTGGAATGGCTTGGAAAAGGCAAATCTGGAACAATTCCAGGGCTGCCAAAGAAGGTAGAAAGTCTGGAGCAGATGTAGAATATCTCTAGAAACAGAAATGTGCATTTGCTTTCTTTACAGCAGCCTCTGCTGCCGTCTGATGTATCTGTACACACTGAGCAAAGCTGGGAATCTGGGATTTGTGAAATAGGATATCCTTGTAGCATCAAAGGGAAAGCCATGAGGCAGGAAGCAGATAACATCACCCGTGCGAGAAATGCAGGGAGACCTGCATGTCAGCCACAGCAGGATAACAGAAAGTTAAATTGTGTACTAGCACCAGGGAATGACACTAAACACACCTACAGTTAACCCCACAGATGTTTCATCAGTTCTGCCCTGGATCACTGGAAAGAGTGCTTAATGGTCTGAATGTCACCTGGGGAATGAGCTGAAAGGCACTGCTTATCTGTCAGTTCCTCAATTGTCAGTTCCTCAATGCCTTTCCTCTCTGTCTCTTCTGGTTCTTTTTTTTTTTATTTTTTTATTTTTTTATTTTTTTTCTCTCCTCTCCTTAGCTCGACCTTTAGAAAGTTCTTGGGTTCATACAGGAGCAGACACACAGTTTGCTTGAAGATAGGCAGATACTCACTCCTAGATAGAGTTCAGATGCTTCAGGTGTGGCATTATATCTGTGGCATGGCCCGCAGCTGCTCCCAGGTTGTCCCTAGCATGCACTGTCCTCTGTGCTGGTGTTCACCTTTGAAAACCTTGTCAGGAAGTGAGCTACTGGTTTTACAAAGTGGGCAATCATCATCCCAGTTCTTGAGACTGTTTTATTTTGTGTTAAAAACACAGGTCAGGAAACAAACACCACTTGCCATAATATATAGCTGTTATACTGGCTGCTGGCCAGACTTGAGAAGTGGGACTCATGGGAGCTCTAGATTATTGCCTTTTCAATTTGTTTTCTCCTCCCCATTCTCTCCTTTCTCAGACATACAATATCTCCATCTCTCCCTTTCTTCCACATTTCACTTGCAAAGTTTTTGTACTGAGTTCATTTTCAGATCTGTATTGCACTTTTAGGTTTGTCAAACTTTTTGGAGAAAGTCATCAGGAGGTCAAAGTCACCTGTCATACCTTTTTGGTGTTTATTAATAATGATAATAATGATAATGATGATGATGATTATAATAATAACAATAAATAACTTGTTTTTCTTTTTAACCCTCTACTGTATAATAACATTATCTCTCTGTTTACAAGATGGGGATCTAGCTGTCTCACTAGGACTAGATACTTACCTGCTAGTCAGCTGAAATTAGCTCAATATGAAATCCACACTATATATTAGACATTACTGATTCCATGGTGGTGGAGAACAAAGAGATAACACACTTTTTTAAGGCCTTTTCAATCTGTACCCTCTAGGATACTGTGAACCTGTTTCTTTTGTTAAGGAAAAGATGCTGCTGTGCCAGACTTATTTCGCTGCAAGGAGTCGGTGCTAGGGTAGCCCCCCAGATGTTACCATCAGAGGAGGAAGGATGGTCTTTGGGTGAAGCCACGTGTTACATATCCATCCTTACACGTCCTCCTGCCTACCCTGCCAGTGAGGTTCAGTGGTTCTGGCAATGTATATTTATTAAACTGAATTCCTGGCCTCTTCTGAAAAGAGAAGAATATGAGCTATTCAACTGAGAAGATAGGTAGTAATTAGGCATATGAAAATATAAACTGCTCCTGCCAGTGGTTTAATGGCTAGAGAGAGGACAAAGGAGACCATAGCTGTGCTGGTTTCATTGCTTTGATGGAAACTTGCATTAAGCCAGCAAATGCAAAAGCAAATAAAAAAATAAAAGCAGAAAGGCTTCTGCATGTTGACAAAATGGAGTTTCCAAGCCCACAGGCGAATGCTCTGGTCAGAGATGATTACGTCTGAATTTAAATTGAGAGAGAGACGTGAGCTGTCAGCGACTGTGAGGAACTGTGAGCCTTTGGGAGGTAGAGCAAAGGGTGCTCAGGTGGCTGGGCTCCTGGATGAGGTAGGTGGCAGGCAGATGAGTAACTCCTGTGTTTCCCATCCACCTTGGCTGCTGAGACCCCCAAGGAAATGAGATTGCTCAGAGTGGGCTCTGTCCCCCTTCTCCTGTCAGCAAGGAGCCCATGAAAATCCACTATTGCCCTCTGCTGGAGTGAGGGCTGCTGGTGGGACCTGGGCTCCAGCTGGGGACAGGGGAGGCCAAGGTCCTCTGAGAGAGGGGCAGGGAGAGAAAACAAGGGAAAGCAGAGAGCAGAATGCAAAGAAAACAAGGGGAGTGTTGATTAATCTGAAATGAGAAGATTGGATACCTCCTTGAAAATATTGGATGAGGAAGGAAATGAATAGGATATGAATGGAATGATAAAAATGAAAAAGAGGGGAGGAAGGAGGGAGGGGGGAAAAACAGCAGCATTGGAAGAAAGGAGGAGAAAGGGAAATAAGAAGATAAAGAAAGAACAGGGAGAAGGGAATAATCAAGAGGATAAGGAATTGAGAAGAGAAAGATGGAGAAAATCCAGTGTGCAGAATAAGTGGCTGAATAAATGAATTAGTCAAGATCTAGGAAAGAAAGATAGCCTTGTGTTCGGAGAGTGGGAGGAAAAATTCAGAAGAGTAACAGCAGGACAAGGTGCAGATTCAGGGATTCCCAGCTTAAATCCAAAGGGATATTTGTGATCACTCATAGACCACGCACCGTGCAGTGTGTTTGGTAAAGGACAGCAGCTTGCACCCTGAGCTGCTCCTGTCTGCAACGTGTCTGCAGTTCCAGAAGGGAGAGGCAGACCTGGGCAACTGGAGTGTCTGAGGGTCTGCCCTGGTACCCTGCCTGCCCCCATTAATTAGTGGAAGAACAGGGATCTTCCATGCCACTGCTCTTGTCAGGGTATTGCTGCTTGCAGGGGTAAAGGACTCAGTCTTTGGGTAGAAGAGATGAGGATATGCCCACAAAGATGTAGCAGAGGAGGTCTGGCTGTCTTTCAAGGGAAGGGCTCTGCTTGGGCACAAAACTGGAAGCAGGCAGGTGTGAAAGCACTGGAGAGAATGATTGCATTTCCACGCATGAGATCTGGCCTGGGCTCAGTAGCTGACAACCAAACCTGAATTTTCCAGACACAATTGGATCTGGTGCTGGAAGAAAGAAAAATCAGAGGATTCTTTGAGATCTGTTCCTTGGCATTATTAAACATAAGCGAGCAATTACAAGTTTTCAATATACATTCACCTTCCCCCACCAACAACATACCATTGTGTGATTATTCCACTAATTGATCATGGCATATCTTGTTACCTGCTAATGTAGGTGCTCCTTCATCTGTGGGCTGTCAGAGCTCTCCAAGTGCGTAATGCTGAATACGATATCCAGTTAGCTCAAGAGCAGAACTGCTACTGAATTCTGTGCCATCCTCACTGCTCCTGCTGAACTGGAAAGATCTCAAGGCCAACCATCTCTGTGAGGTTTTCTGCACTTTCTGATGTTCACGAAGACGGAAATACCATGAGAAAAGCATTTGACCTCTCTGATTCCATTCCCTGGTTGAACCGGAAAATGCAGGGGAGGAGGAACACAAACATTGCTGATAACAGTGACAGCAAAGCTCATCAAACTTGTTCCCAAATTGCAAAATAAAGGGGTTACACTGAGTTAATTAGGGGGAAGGTCTAGGCTTGCTTTGACTTAATCTGACAGAACATGGCATGCATTTCTTTCTATCTTTTTGTCTTTCAGAATTTAAGGAAGCCTTCTCACTCTTTGACCGGACTCCCAAATCTGAGATGAAAATCACATACGCACAGTGCGGAGATGTCTTGAGAGCTTTGGGGCAGAATCCAACCCAGGCTGAGGTCATGAAAGTGCTTGGCAGACCCAAACCAGAAGGTTGGTGTCCTCTGTCTTCATTTTGAAAAAGATCTTTCCAAGAATTAATAATGAAGCTGATGAGGTCTTCTTTTTTTAATGGAAAGATTAAATGTGAAACACTGAAGGGTATGGAACAGCTTCTAAAAATCTCTAGCAGAAAAGTAGTGAAGGAAAAAATAGATCTGTCTGTCAATATAATTGTCTCAAATTTAGGAGACTGAATTCATGTGATGGCCAATGTGTGTTAATACATTTTACAATTACATGTTTTCACCTTTTGAAATTGCTTTGCTGACAGACATTCACTTGTGTTTACTAAAAACTCAGACACTTTGAAGACATCTAAAGAAACAAAAGGATAGACTGAAAGTAAGGACACAGTTTGTTCTAGCAAAGTATATGTTAGATGCACTGTAATGACTGCGATTATATCTCTCTTCAACATTCACCATGCACAGGATATGTGTTTAGAGCAAAGGAAATCTCTCCTGGACCATATCCACATTCAGGCATATTCTAGATGACTTCTCCATCCCTTCCTTTTGCTGAGATTAGTGGGAACTGACAATTAGGCCCATATTCAACAACTGGCATGTATCAGGATATGGCAATGGCACAGTGGCGGATGGGACAAGCAGTCAAAATGGACTATAACATCCAGTGATGCTCTTGAAAGGCAAAGAATCAGGAAAACAGGACTCACAGACCCAGTCCTGCCATCCTCTATTCACTCTGAAGTTCCTGTCCCAGTATGGTTTTAAACACCTCTGTTTTACAGCGATGTAAAGCAAAGCTGATTTCATATCAGGATTGGCCTCTTCTTTTATTGTCTTTTGCTTAGGTTCGTGCTTTTATGTTGCATTAAATGCTTTACAATTCTAACTCCACTTTCTGTCCTTGCCATTTACATATGTCAGATACTAGGAGATATCAATTTATTGGTCTGTTAAAAACATATTTTAGTCCTTGCCAGAACTCTTTTTCCATCTCTGACTATCCGTTACTCCATCTGTACTTATAATATTCCCATGTGCTTCTCTTACTTTTAGCCAGAATTTATTGCCATGATTCTCCTACTCCTGTTACCTGCCCATGGTGCATGCCCCAGCTCTCCCAGAATCCTCCAAAACTTTAATTTCCATCTGTGTCTTTCTAGACATGAACTCCAAGATGATTGACTTTGAAACCTTCCTGCCCATGCTCCAGCATATTGCCAAGACAAAAGACACGGGCACCTATGAGGACTTTGTGGAAGGTCTGCGTGTGTTCGACAAGGAGGGAAATGGAACAGTGATGGGGGCTGAACTCCGCCACGTTTTGGCTACTCTGGGTAAGGTGAACCTTATCCGATTTCATCACCCAGGTCTTTCCCATACAGCTTGTGGCGATTTTTCTGCTCAAAATGACTGGGCAAGACTTCAGTCATTATATTGTCCTCAGAAATAAAGACAAAAATAAAAATAAAATTATCCAAACAATGGAAAACCCATCTATTCCTACAATATATGTCTCAATTTTTCTGCACCTTTTTAAACTGTCATGTATTTAACAGAATTGTTTCTGAAATTCAAAAGCTCTGTTTTTAAAGGAGGAATCAGTATTTCACTGTCTTCTCAAATCCTGACTTCAGACACTCTGTTTTTCATGAATAGTGACGAAAACAGCATGAATTACAGTCAGAAAATTTAATGTAACTTAATGACAGGTTTCAAATTTGGATTAGAAGGCACTTAAATATTGTCATCTGAATCCAGTAAGCATTTCTCAAGATCAGCCTTTTCTAGTAGGGTTTGTCCACTATTTTTAAAAAAGGATGACCTATTGCAAAAGAGATTTGACTTAGATAAAAGGATTCCAACAATCATGACCTGGGATATATGACAATCAATTGACCTGGGATATTGATTTAAAAAGCCAAATCTTTTATGCTCAGGGATTTCTATTCCATGACACATGTTTCTCTGTTGACATATGCTATAAAAAGTAATGTTATATTCATTTTCATCACTGATACTTTTGAATAATTTTGGGAAACAAATTCAGTGATGACCAAAAAAATAAAGAAAGAAAGAAAAACAAGACAACAACAAGAAATCCTCACCACCACCTACAGCAACAACAACAACAACAAAAAGTCAGGATTGATATCCTACCTAAGCTTACATTAGGCAATGTAACCATTCTTGACAGTTTTGATAGTTTCACTGCACTAAAAGAAATGATTTTGAAGTCGTCCTTCTGTTTCCAATAATCCAGAATAACATGGCAATATCTGATTTTCCAACATTTTTAGGAAGTATTTCAATCTGAAAGACAATTATATTTAGAATGGTATTTTTTTAGTATCGCTCAAATCCTAGGCACAACCAAGTATTCTGTAAATTGGCATGTTTTTCTGTTTGATTTTGAAAAAATCAGTTGAATTTTCAGAGGTTTACATCAGCTGAGGACTTGTTCCTTTGTGGCAGAGATCAATGATGTAAAAGCAGAATGTAAGTAGTAGGACACATCCAATGAGCTTTGTTTTCATTTCTAATATTTCAGCTGATATTACCTTAAAATTTTTCCCATGCCTTTTTAGAAGTCATTTGATCTCGTCAGTGCTTAATATCAGAATAGAGAGATCTATTGGATTGATTCCTCTGTTCAAGCAGAATGAAGCCTTATGGGTAAATACGTGCCTAATATTTAGATAATTAAATTAAATTAAATGGATCATTCATTCAATTCAGAGATCCCCAAATTGATCTTGGAATATTCCTGAATCGCAGAATCACAGAACCTCAAACTCATAGGCATACTAGAGAGTGACTTTACTGAGAATTTGTTTAGTGAGGACTTGGTTAAGGACTGACAAAAGCCTTAAGGATTTGGCACTTAGAGAAAGCTTATTCTTAGAAGAAAGAGTATGTGGGTTTCCATACTTATTCTGTCTCTTTTCAGATCAAATTTTCTCAGTTTGCAATTTCAAAAGAAGCTTTCCTAGCAGTCAGCACCACAAATTAGCTGAAGAGAAATTCTCCCATATTTCTGTCTCACTCTTTTGTATTCTCTGGTTCTTTGAACTGTTCTTTAGAAATTCTTTAGAAGGGCTCAGAGGTACTCAACAGTCATTTTGCTTTCCCCCCAGGTGAAAGGTTGACTGAAGAGGAAGTTGATAAACTAATGGCTGGTCAGGAAGATGCCAATGGTTGTATCAACTATGAAGGTAGGTAAAACCAGTCTGGTCTGAACAGTGGTCACGTACTAGAAGGTTTTGTTGCATTTTTTTCTGTGAAGACTTAAATCAAGGAAAATCTTGCTCCCGTAATAAGTATGCATGCTTTTCCAGATTTTAGATTAATTGAGACTCTATAGTTCACCTGATGTGTTGTATCTGTAGTAAGTTTACTTGCATTTTCCATAGCTGAATAGCCAAGGCCTTTTCAGGAAGCAGGCATAGGTCTTCTTTTGATTTATTTTTTTTTCTTCCCTATTTTTAATACCTACACCCAATATTTCCTTGTCATCTCAAAATCAGGTACTCTGTTGAGAGCTCCCTACAGAAAATCATTAAATTTTCTTTCAAAATCTCAGCAAAAAAATAAAAATAAAAATAAATAAATATATATATCCATGTATCCTCATTGGTCCTCTGACCTAGGAATTCCACAAGACCTTCCAAAGACCTTTCAGTTTATTTCACTGCTTGTAGAAAACCTGAATGAAAGGATTTTTTCATGAGTAAACGGACCATGTTTCTCTCATGCATCTTGCAAGTATACTTGCTTCAGACTCTTCATTACAATACAATATTCTAGTAAAGATCATGAAAATATGATCTTCATGTTACTGTACACTTTTGAGTCCTTCTTTGAAGGTTACCTAGTGACTGACTGCTGTATTGTCCGGTGATTCAACTGGTCTGTCATCTTCATGGAGTCTGTTACATTTTTGCTCGGTGCTCTCCTTTGTTTTACAGATGCTAGTGATCTGATCTCAGGGAAACCTTTCTTATAAGCCAATAAGTAGACATCTGTAGATTTAGCAAACCCAAATGACCCGTGATCTTATGGCAAATTCAGAGAAATTAATTGTAGAGCCAGATTATTAGGAAAGAAAAAAATATGCTGCAGTAAGTGTTTCTCTCTTTCCTTTTGAATTTCAATATCATGAGTACTTTTTTAATGATGAATGCTTTTTCAAAATGCAAAAAAATCGAACGCAAAACCTTTTGTAAAAAAAAAAACAAACAAACAAAAAAAAACCACCACCACCAGCAAAAAAAAAAAAAAAAAAAAAAACACAAGCAAACATCAACAATCACGAAACAATTCCAATTGGCTTTGACATGACTTGTTTGTTTCTAAGCCTGAATTCACTTGCAGAGGTATAGTCACAATACCTAACTAGGTGACCTGTTGTGTGCTCTGAAGGTTCACTCCAGAGCTACTTTCAGTGCCTCCTGCCTTAGTATTAATGTGCTGAAACCTTGCAAGATGATGACCCAAGATTTCTCATGGTTGTATACTTTGGAAAGATGGTACCATACTGCAGCCAGAGCAAAGGGATTAAGCAAGCTATGGGTTGACAAATGTTCCTTTTCACTGGCTACTTGGTGCTGACTACCC